ATGTCACCAATCACCGTCGTTCTTAGCAGAAAACTAATTTGGTGCACAATATAAAAGCCGGCGGTTACCAGAACACAGCAACTCACAGAAAATGAAATCGAATATCGCATCCTGTGCCAGCGCGATTGGCGGTAAGTAACCCAATGAATAAGAAAGCACGTCCAATAAACAGTGTAAGAGGCACAGTATTGAAAAGAAGTTGATACAACGAATGAAGTTCAGCAGTTCCTTGCCATGGACAGTGACACCGGGTGTTAGCACTGCGTCAAATCGGATTCCGGTAAAGCGGTGAAGATATACGTTAATGTTAGTGAACAATAACTCGGTAATCCTACTTGGGACATTGGAGGGATAAACGAGGATTAACTTATTCCAATTACCTTTTTTTCGCAGGCAACGAATGAAAGAAAATGCCTAAATGTTTCAATTAATGGGAAATCAGAGACGCTTAGTCCATCAGGTGCAATGGAACAGCTTAAATTCAATTCCGCGATTGACGGGAGTGTGGATTCCGAGACGACTTGTTCAGCTACGACAATGACAGAAACGCCTCCAAAACCAACATACGCACCACCGAAACCAGCAGTAGGAGCAGATGATAAAAATACTGCAGCGGATAATTCAGAAGCACAAAACCCAAAGGTGCGAAACCCGGAGGCAAGTGCACATAAGGAACCAGCGGAGAAATTAGCACAGAAAGATGGTGATGCAAACGTTAGTGCAGAAGAAAACTGTGCAGTTGAGTGAGCGAGGATACCGCGAAAAAAACAGGGGATCAAGCTAAAGGTGCTGTTCACTACCTTAGACTTGCTAAATTTACTTTCCAGGGGAGATGACCTGATGACGTAAACGTGTATTACAAATTGAGAAAGTATTGTTTATACGAAACTTTCTGTGAAAGATTGACCCAACTATTTCAAAAATGAAACAACCGCTATCTAGATAGCGGACTCAGTCATTCGGGTTCCGTAGAATGCATACGTTTACATATTTCAATGAATCGAAATGACCGAGGCTACCAATATTTCATTAAGTTCTACTATAGTTCATATAAGACGACGTGTGAAAATCCGAACCGTCAGTGTTCCTAGTCCTGGGACTCATTGCTCATCTCTTTTTCAGCAGTCTATAGTGAGTNNNNAGTGAGTTACGACATATACAACCATCTCAATTCATCTGATCATTTCATGTTTTTTTAAATTTCATCTTAAACGTTTAACGCATGTGGTCAATCTCGTTAATTAAAAAAACCTTTTTTAAAGTTTACCCTCTAGAATCAGAAATGAACCAAAAAGACCGTGTATTGGGGAAATCCAGGAAATGCCAGTAAATCACATGTTGTCATAATTACACCAGCTGTATTTTTGATGCTTGATCTGGACGTCAGTCCGGGAGGCGAATGCGGGAGCAACTGTCAGGTCATCTGATATAAACACAAGAGGTTAGAATATGTCCTTTTTCCGCCAATATTCCAAAGACGATTAACTACATTAAATTCAGTGATCTGTAATTATTATACTCTTATACTTAAGTTATTGTTCCATGCAGATAACATCGAGAAACCTGGAGAATTCTGAAACAGTTCTGCACTCTTTATACCAATGGGCACCTCTTGACTCTGGAGGTGAACTACGATATCGTCAAGGTTGAGTGAATCCTGCCAGTCCCTTGCTCTTACAGGTCCAACCGTATAGGTGAATGAAGGTTCACATTTGTTTTAATTTTGCTTAAATGCACGCTGGGATAATTTATAACATACATGCTATGTTCAATACCGTAACGGATTTAAACCAAGAGAAACCAGTTTAACAGATTCAGATTAAGTTGTTCCGTCAGAGGGTTTTGCAATACATAGTCTAACCAGAAGAAAACGCATTCCCTTAAATCCGACGTTGATACTCTGGAGATCACTGGAAAACAAACTGAAGGGCAATTTCAAACTCACGAACCTCTCGAAATGAAACCAGGTCCTTTATTGATTCGCATAACTCAACAAACCCTACATTTGTCTGGATAAATGAGCGCGTTATAAGGTTCACCTCTCTTGGCAGCCAGATATTTCAACTTATCGAAGAAACGTTGAAATAAGTAGTTCCTGATTGTTGCATTTTTATCAATACGATCGACACAACACAAATTCTATTCTGAATAAAAGGTGACCTAAGAATATTTTAATTCTAGATGTGTGGAATGGATTGTTTTCTTTTATTATCTTGAACACCTACAGGTTCAAAACGTTGTCAAAAGTAGCCCAGTTGAGGTAATCTCTAATTTAGTTGAACTGTACCCGCGAAAGTAAACAAGCATTGAGCATTTGTGAAAAATGGATGTCAGACAATATAAAACCTATCGGATCCTGGTGCATTGGAATTCGGAAAATATGAACTCGAATATTTTGAAATTTCTGTTGATAACTTTGTCTTTCAGCGGTTTTGTCGATGCAACATGCTATTGGTCGTCAGCTGAGAATTTTGAAGAGGTCATTGATAAGTTCGAAATACAGTTAACTTCCATTTAGTAATGTAAGCTTAATACGTGACTTGATATAGAATTTTCTGTAGAAGCATTGCAGACGATTATTTTAACAGGGGTTTCACACCAGAAATCTCTCCTGACGACCGAGTTATCTTTGAAATTCGACGTCAACAGATCAGATGGGATTGAGTTAAATGCAATCGTATGATGAACAATGCATGGTTAAGATGAAGTCAGTGCAAACCTCGGATCATGAGGTGAAACGGGGAGTGCGTGCTTGCACTCTCAAGGCATAAGCTGACGGTAGTGCAAATATAAACCATTTGGGATGTACCATTATAAGAAGATCAAAAAGGCGTTCTGTTGTATGAGAAGGAGCGTCCTTTGGTTCTCAACACGTTTAGTGCTGCATGACTGCAGGTGTGCCCAGTTCAATCAAAGTCAACGACCAGAATGGCGATGATGGCTGACACACGTGCATATTGTTTCAATAGCTGACTATATCTAGTCAAAAGTACGGGATCAAAACACAATCGTAGGAGAGACGGGAATCATGAGCATTTGTGCTCGCCTTTGTGTGTTTGTCGATCGGTAGACCGGCGGATGCCAACCGGGGTACGAGTCAGGAGAGTGTGGAGGGATGGGAGCGAGCAACTAAATGGTGACGGTGATAAGGATTACAACGGGAATAGTCGACCCGATCAAGAAACTCATGGATTTCAACTAGTGTTTCTAAATTTTAAAATTGATCGTTGAATACGGATTTTGCTGCAAAATTGTACTTGAGCAAGTTGAACAAAACAGCATGCGTTTGGGGCACGATGCATGCTTTTTAACTGTATATGGAAAACAATAGATAAACATGTATTTATGGGGCGATTTGTCATAGGAGTGTTAGTATATGGACCCGACTGTTCTCGTGCAATGCGCAGTTGGCCTGATCAGCTTTAAGAAAACACCAGAACAGAAGCCGGGGTGATTTAGGTTGGTATATGTCAATAACACTTC